CACTCCCCCAGTGCTTTGATCCCTTATGGGGTGAGACGGGACGCTGTATTTACCCGCAGCTGGGTCTAGCACGAGGCCATGTCTTGGCTGCGGGCTCTTTGCTGCCACAAACGTCACCTGTGAGGGTAAGGGAAGATGCCTCCTCTCTGCAGCGCCCGGGCTCTGCGCGGAGTGCGGGAAGCAGAGACTGGGGGAAACTAACTCAACTGGAGTCACCGCACCGACGCACGAAGCCTTTTAAAAAGAGCCGTCGTGAACTGGGCTATGCACGATGCGTTTTGTGGAGCACATACCTGCTCGCAAAACCTCCTCAGCTGTAACAGACAGACACGGGGATGTCGATCCCAACTTCAAGAGGATAAAGAGATAAAATAAAAAAAACTGAACTTCAAAGCCTCTGGGCCAAATATTTTTGGTTCCAGGGTAAGTGCTTAAGGGCCACGCTCAGGCTCCATAGCTCGCAGAAATTACAAGCTAACTCCAGAAGCAGTGCCACGGCAGAGATCAGGGAGGGTGCTCAGTGGGTTTGATGGCTGCTAACATTATCCTGTGTAGGGGCCAGATTTAGATAGGCATTTTCATAACCAAATTCTTAAGTCTTGGATTTCCATGATCAAAAGCGGGATTCACAGGTAGGATATACGAAGGGACTCGGTCTTAAAAGCTGGGACTTCTGTCTTCCCCTGTGAAATACAGGGAGAGGTTGTCACACCATCAACAGAAGAGTGTTAGACCAGGGCTAAGTGGTTTGAAAAACCCGCTTATCTGCTCAGGCACAAGACAGCAGTGAGAGCAGGTTCCTCCCGAGGGCGGCCCGCAGACTCCTTGTCAAACGCGGTCTTTGCCTCGGTGAGAATTCCTCAGGCTGTTTTGGACTGGTTTCTGAAGCAAACGCGAGTTTAAAAAGGTGCAAAGACTGAAGGGCAGCATATGCTACGCTGAGGTCATCCTGCATTTTCTCCAGAACTAAAATTGAATTTAGGATCTTGGCAGAGAACAAACATTTGCATTGGAAACTGGTTAATTTATGTGCTATTGCCCTGCTAGGACCAAAGTAACAAACCCCTCATTGTGTGCCTCCTGCCCCCCAACCTAATAAACTGCCTCTAAATAGCCTCCTTTCATTGCAAATCTGCTCCACCTACATTTGTGCTGAATGCTGGTTTTAAATGTTTAGCACTCTAAAATTTTCCGCATTTAGTGTATCCCCCAGGGTATGGGCTGACAGAAGCACATATATACAGGCCCCCACTGTTGACTAGAATACTGCAGGTGGCAATTACAGCATTTTGCACTAGATTTTAGCTACATCATTAAAATAATTTCCAGAACAGTTGTCAGAAAGTTCAAAATTGCAGCCCTTCTATCCAAAAGTTACAACGCTGAACTTTGAAAGAGAACTGTTCATGATAAAAGGTGTTATATTCTCAAAGCCACCTAAAGACTTCAAGTTACTACTAACTTTAATATATAAGCATGGTTCTACCCGTGTTAATATTATCTCTCTTCTACATGTCTCTTTTATATTAAGAAATATGGTTACAGCTTTAATTAGATTATTCAGCAGCTCATTTTGCATGTTAGTCAACAGACTTTGAAGAAAATATTGTGTAGCCACATGAATTTGCATACATCAAGATTCAGTATGCTCTGCTTGAAACCTAATACTTTTAAGCCACCGAAGTTGTACATATATGTACACAATATGCAAAATGTCCCACTAAATTGAAAACCATCATCTCCATTAATACAGGCTAATACAAAATCAACACAGAATCCTACCCAGAAGGTCGTGACAGAAAGAAAAGGTTGTCTAATACCATATTCTAGACTTTGTCTATCTCCTACATGATATTTTATTACCTATTTTATCAATACTAAAAAATTAAGTTTAATATTTCAACTAAGAAACGTGGTTTAATGTACAGCGGTATTGCTTGGGGAAAACTCAGCTGCCCTTCAACGATGCTTTTATATGGACATTTCTCCTAGTCTAAATCACATACATTTTGAAAGAACATTTCAGAGTCACTGCTTTTGTAACAGAGGAGTTATTTTCAGATACCCTGCTGAAATGTAAGTCAGAACAACAGGCAGAGAAAAATTCTGCTTCAATTTAAAAAAAAAGACTAATTTAAGTGAATTGGATCTTCATCTTCAGAGAAGGTTCAGCTAATTGAGATTTTCATTTAAACTAAAGAAACCCTGGAAGACGTTGGGAAAAATGTTTCCTGTCGTACTGTGTCATGTTTTCCAGACACGTGTAGGTAGAGTTAGGAGAAACAGGCTACGTACTTATCTCTTGGAAACTCCCATTTGGGGTCTTCAGGCAATTCATATTCCGAGACTCCTGCCAGCATGGGGGCATCAGCAGTAGAGGAGAGGCGAGTAGTTATCCTCACCAGAGGTGTGTTGGAGTTCATGGAGGAGCTCGAGTCGGCTGACACCTGTTGTTGCAATACAAGAGGCAAAAAGAAAAGACAAAAAAGGCAGAGATGTAATCCTGACCCAATATCTGAACAACAGCAATACCTGATAACCAAGCCAGCTCAGAACGGTGAGGTATTAGAAGGTGGCTGAATCTATGGTCTTGTTTCACAAATTTGCCCTCCCTTATAATCACAATACTGACTCTGCTACCAAATCTGTCTCATAGGACAAAAAACATGTAAGTTTTAAATATATTCACTCAGAAGATAAATTAAATATACTTTCCCTCTTTTTGTTTATCAAATTAATATTTTTATAATCAACTGAGTATGTATATCACCACCCTCAGATACCTAATTGGGCGGATTATACTGCGAGCAGAGGTTACCAATAAGCTCTTGTCTTCCACCTGCTTCTAGTTGTCCATGTCACCATTTCTTTTCCCAAATCAGCACACAATTTACTGGTTTTTAGGTATTACCACTACCTTGACATATTCAATTTTTAATTGAAAAATGCTATTTTTGCAAAGGCTCCCATACTTCTCATCAGCACTGATGATCAAGATCATATGCATATTACTGTGTAGCAAATGCTGGATTCTCTCACATACTTTCTAAGCATTCAATATCAAAAGCATAAAAAAGCTATTACATAATAGGGGGATATTTAAGTTTTTAGTTAACTACATTCTTAATTAAAGATTCTGCAGACAATGTGGAGAAGAGCCCATAAAAATAATTTAATGTCCAATGCTTTGAAATGTAATTCACTTTGGACTATGATTTCTCATTGGCCTCAAGAACAATACATTTTCCTTAGGGCATCAAAGGTACTTAAGGATAATCGCATTGAAAAAGGAGGTAGCTGTTCCATCCATGTAACAAAACTTCTCTTGGTATGACTGGTGTATCTTCCATAAGGCTTGTCCCTCAAACCTGCAAGCAGCAGCCTGCTGTCTGCTGACCTCAGGGTTTCAAGTGAATACGAACACAAAACAAAAATGCTTGTATTGCCACTCTGTCCCCTCCTTTAAGTGTGAATCCTCCTTCTCTCTTCAGCCCATGACAGACTTGGCCAAGTCCAAATGTGGTGGTCCAAACCAAGGCTGGATGGAGGTTGTGTCACAATGCCATCGCTGGTACATCAGGCAGCGGGAGGTGCTTCTCGGCCAGCATCGACAGGACCCTGCCCAAGCTGGAAGCCTAGAGCATCAGAATAATTACCACTCTCGACCTTCATCCTCATCACCTGGAGTCAACTTTGACACCAGGTTTGCTTATGTAAAATGTCACCAGGCTACAATTTTGTTCCACAGGTCTTGTAACTAGATTTAAAAAAAGCAATTACAAGCAAACAGATCCTAATAGCATTAAAGTGCAAATCAGTGACACGGTGATATGAACACAAAAATCCTCTTGTCTTTATGACACCTGACCAGCACAACTTAGTGCTCCCTTATTTCAAGTCCAATTAACAATTACAGTGTCTCAAGCCCACAGAATTACTCAAGCTCCTCAGAACCAGTCTGAAAAGCTTTTTGCAAGTCATGCTCTTACACAATTTTTTTTGACAAAACAAGGCTACAGCTCTCAAACAAATTTCTCATCATGACTGTGACCACCTGTTTTGTTTGAGAGGTCTTTTTGCTGGTCAACATCCTCAAACCCCTCTCATCAAATGGTGTTGGCTTCTTGACACATTTGTTAAGACCAGAGATTACGACTAGAAAGAGTTTTCATAAGGAAGAAAGCGTTACGGACTGCTATCAAAAAATTAACCTTGGTAACCAGTTTTGCAGCTGACAGACCTTTCTTGGTATCAGAAGCTCCAGCTTCTGCATGCAAGAGGTGGTGTCTACGGAGCAAAAGAGTATAACTGCTCAAATAAGGCTACCATTCAAAAAAGAAAGGTGGACCGCTTTCTCCCTCATTCATCCCACCATCATTAATGTTAGTATTTACTTTTGGCAAATATAAGTACCTGGCACATTCCTCTAGGATAATAAATATGATGCCCGCTTGGGATCCAAACAGAAAACCACTATTAAGGCAGACTATGTAGCTCCAAATAAATCAGTAAGTGAATACTGAACAGAGTCCTTCAAGAGAGATGCTGCCATACCCAGTCTACAGAGGACAGCACACCTGCTGGAAGCTGCATGGCAAACAAGCGCAAGAACCAGGGCTGGAATTAGACTTTTGCTTATTTTTTTGCTCATTTTCATTATTTCATTATGGTTTAAAAATGATGCTTCACGAAATGAAGCAGCTCAGCACTAAGAAATGTGCAAATCTCCATGAACAATGTGGCAACTTCTCCGTCCCCCACGACTTTCCCTGAATTTCATCTTTCTGTTATTTCTGGTTTTCAGTTTTTTTTCATCTCTCACCACAAACTTACTAATACTTTCTGACCACTTCCTCCATATTTCCAAAATCCAGACACGATTCTCTAGTCATTCTACCAAGATCTTTTTTCAAGTCTTGATTTTTCTTTATTCATTAGCATTGCCCTTCTTTGTAATAAGAGCCTTTGTTTTCATGGGACATCAGGAAGGCACAGAAGTGAAGCTGCAAAATTTAGATTATATCCTTTATCTATCAGAAATGGCCCAAAGTGTTCTGGGGTCTTATTCCTTTCATGAACACAATACTTGTATTAGACACTGTTCAGATCTCTGCCAGAGTTTCTTCTTTTCCCTAGATACTTATACTTACAATTCCTTATACTCACAATTCAGCAGTCTTAGCATGGTTGAAACCTATAAACGTAACTTGAAATACTCTGGTGATGCATTTTAAACACAGAAGTTAAATAGTAATAATGTACAGAAAAAACAGATGAAAGACTCTGCCAATTTCCCTTTTAACACAATTGCACATGTTTACTTCACACAATAACTGCAAGATTGGCCAGAGGTGCTTTAGGTAACCAAAGTGCATTAATGTAGATAGGAATGATGAGAAATCCAGAGGCACTGCACTACTCAGCGTCTGGGAGAAGAAAAATGGACTGCACTCCCAGGGAATATTCTTCTGATTGATTAACTGGAGTAGTACAAGGAGTTACAGGAGCTCAAGGGCTATAAAGATCTGCTCCAAGAAAAGATGAAGCCAACCCAGGCTGGCCTGCAGTTGGAGGAGATCTTCTGTTTCAAAATGGCCTTTCACCTTTTCTGCAATAGTAAAGAATTAACCTTTGAACTCATCCCTTAAGCATCTTTTTTTTATTGCCTTAGAGTGCACTATAACACAATGAGGACAATCTTACCTACTCCAAGGTCAGTAGACTTGGTCAACTTTAATCTACATGTATACATTTAGGTAACAGCATACGGAAAGCCTTTTTCCAGCTTGCTACTTTCCCTTTTTCAACCCACAGCACTACTCTCCAATCCCTCACCAGGCAGGTTCAGGAACCAGTGACACTCCTGTCATGAAGCCCACATGGGTTCACCGGTCCTCAGGGTGAGGAGTTGCTTTCTTGTTGGTTTGAAGTATGTGAGTGCTCCTCTTTCTGCTTTCTGTTATGCAAAGATGCAAGGTACAAAGGCATAACAGAAGTCATACTAAGTTTTTGCAGCAAGATTGCAATTGCACATGGCCAATATACAGAGTCCAGGGCCACTTTGAGGTCCACCAGGTGCAGAGAAGCAGCAGCTGGACACCTAGTCAAAAGGCATGAACTTCATGGGCAATCACCCAGCTCATGTGCTTCTCAGAGATAAAGGAACAAAGCAGAGCCAGGGCAGAGAGGCAAGGAAGGGCACCTAATGTAGGTGAATTACTAGGTCTACTCACTGTGTTGGTGACACTTGTTTTAAGCGATGATGCTACACTAAGTAGGTATTTTGAGTGTTTAATTAAAGCACAGAAGGCAGAAGTCAGCTTGACTCGAGCAGAACACTGAAAGGGCTACTGTGGTAAACGTTAACAGGCAGGTAGACCTCCACCATAAAATACTCTTTGTGCGCTTCCTCTCTGCTTCCAGGAGGCCGGAACCAAGAAAAGTGTCAGACTCAGACAGATCTTTAGCTCCATATCTGCATTTCAGGGGAAAAGTCCACCTTGTCCAAACCTCACACACCAATACATTGTTATATCCCCATTTTAACAAGATATTTTTCCTTCGGTCAACACGCTGTATTTAATCAGCTCCAAGATAATGCTTTACAAGCATTTCTAAGCAGTGGAGCACTTAAGAAAAACAAATCTGTGCTGGAATCTTTAAATGCCATGTAGCAAAATCAGCTGCAGAGCAGTGTGTAATTGTCTGTAATTGATTATGAAGGGTATTTTCCTCCACTGAACGATTTATACCATGTCCTGAAGCCTAGATCTGTCAGTTCTGGCACTCACGCTGTGAGATTTTAGCAGCCATGCAGTGATTTCCTGTAATTGTCAGTTTTTTTGAAGGCTATAAAAGTTCATTTGAAGTCATATGCATATATGTATATAAACATAATTAGAAAGTAATGCTATTGGCTGTTGGTAGAAACAGTCCATCTGAGTGACTGGATCTAGGAAAATAAAAGGTATAAATCCACATGAAACTGAGGATTCCCAATGCTAAGTACTGACACTTGAAAAACACACACCACCCCTTCATGAAAAGCACTCGTTTTGAAACACTTATGTAACAAAAAAAAAAGACAAATGAGTACTACTAGGCAAGTCAATGGTTTCTATACAGAGAATAAAGCAAGAAGCTAAAATAGGTATTAAGGTAAATTCCTTGCAATATATCCTACCAACAGTTGTGTATTATTCTTTGTATTTCAGAGTCTATTCCTTAAAACAAATTATATTTTTACAGTTCAATACAGCATGAAATACTATGTTACTTTACTTCTTCCAGATTACTTTTTTTCCCCAGGTTCCAGCTGCCATCATCATTTTCAATTATCTTTTTTTTTTTTTTTGGTGAGCTTAAGTCTTACTTTAAACCAATCGGTCTTTGCTCATCACAAATGTGTTCACTGTGTCTTTATGAAGGATTAGAATCAGCAACCAAGGTAGATGTAAACTGATGGGAATGTATTTAAAATACTAAGCATAAGAAATGATTCCTCCCTGTTTAAGGCACATATATACACCTAAGTTGAGGGGGTCCAAACTTGACAGATTAACTGTGATAGCAGTGATGAAATGCTCTAGCAATGACAAATACTTGTACTTGACTTTGGGCAAGTCACAAGAGATGGGACCTTCTATAACCACTAGAGCAGCACCGTCTCCTTGTCTGTTTTAACTACAATTTATTTGTTAAAAGGAAAAAAGTTCCACAAAAATAGACGTATGTCTTATTGAAGGCTGCTCTTTACCTTTTGGTTCAGTGAACCTGTCACCTAAAGCCTATGCTGCGTATCGGCTTGTGATGTTCAATCCCACAAACAATTCTCCCTCTCCCTTGCGAACCAGTACCTCCACGCCGAACATGGCTAATCCCAACAGCACTGCAGCGCTCTGCTTTTACGTACAGAAGAGGAACTGCTTGCTGGACTTCCCTGCAAGCAACTTCTATTTCAAAAAACAAAGTACCAGATCCTAGTGAGGCTGAGCTGTAGGGGGAGGGAACTGATAATTCCTGACTTCATCATGACCCTTCCTATGAAAGTGAAAAGAACCACATTTTGGCAGGAAAAAAATGCCTGCATGTGGGGAATGATAAAATCCTGTAGTAGCTCAGACTAAATAGTGTAGGAGAATGCAGTGTTGCAAACCAAACCATATGTTACTCAGCAAGACTCTTATCCCACTTAGACAAGATGGCATCGCAGCCATGCAAATGCCTCTTCGTGAACCAGGATTATTTTCATATCCAGATCCTTAGGGAGCTTGGCCCAGCAGCAGAGAGTTTCAAAAACAATATCAAGAATTCTCCTATCTATGGCCTCACTTCTCTGGAATTCCAACACATCCCATCACCCAGTCCCGGATCTCTGCCCAGCGCACACAATCTACCTGCCACAAGCATCTCCCCTGCTCGCTCTCCCCCATCCTCTCATCAACACGGCCGCTTTCTCTATTCCCCCTGACACACAGCACAGCACAAAGCCAAGGGAGAACCTTCTGCACCTTTGCCTGTGATAACAGATAAAGAGAGGTTTAGTGATACGATCCTCTGAAATACAAATAAACTGAAACAAAAAAAAAGTAAGCCTGGCGGTAGAACAAAACAAACCCAGTTGAATAATCCAGAAGTTCACACCCATTAAATAAAAAACCTCCTGAATTATTTTTTAATTCCCGATTTGCAACAACAATTCTGAAATCAAAAACCAGCTTTAAAAGATGAAGAAACTAAACAGATGCTGCAGCCTTAAGAGACGAAGAAGACTGCTAACTGAGAATTTAAGGCATCTTCACTGTTGATAAGCCAGTGTTCAGGGACTTCTCATCTCATCCTGCCTTTACATGCTAATACAAAAAGTTAGTGAAATGCCCAGTGAAATCATCAAAACAGAAATATAGATTTCTTTTAACACTTATAGTAGTTGTATTTTCCTCTATGAAGTTTCATGAAAGCAGAGAGCACTTCAATGAGGAACCCCTGTTAATAAAAAAAGTACCTGGAAGAATTGAGAGTAGTGGAATTTTTGCTTAGAGGTTGAAATAAGATTCGCACTTTAAACAAAACTGTTTTTCAAAAAATTATTCCCACTTTCAAAAGCAAAATGCTGTTCTTGCTAAGAAAATCTAGAAAACCAAAATAAACCGATAAAATCTGATCTGACAAGCATGTTGCAAGACAGACATTTTTCCCCTCTGTGAAAACAATAGCTTTGGAGAAGGTCCATATTGCATCATTTTATGATAAATAAGTAAACTGAGGGCAGTGGTTGGCACTGCTGTCACACGCAATGAAATAACACTCTCTCCCCGAGGAACCATTTCCAACTGAAACAACCGAGCTCACACCAAACCCTAGGTATTTTTTATGCCGTCAACTTATCTCTTGAGTCATTATGATGCTTTTATATTCAGGCAGAAATCTAGCAAATGTCTTTAATCTAAGCAGACAATATGTATCTCTCTCTGGTTAAGTACACAACATTTGAAAAGCTTTCTTTTCAGTAGTCCAGAAAGCTACGCAAATTTTTTTAGCCACAGAGATGTGTGAATTGAGCTGAGAGCCTCTCATCATTTTCTGATGTACTAAGAGGCAAAAAGTCCCTCTTCCTCCCAGTGATTTTCAAGCAAATAAGTAAAATCATAAAATTACAAAAAAACCCACAACCAACCAACACACCCACAAAACAACAACCACAAAACAACCCACAAAAAAAAAGGTGGCAAAGAAAGTAAAAAAAACTAAGAATTAACATTTTTGCTCATAAAACAAACTAAACATTTTTCACATCGGGCAACGCTGATGTCCCCCACCTCAAGATTTTGTGAAATACTACACTTCAGAGGAAGATGGCTAAAGCACTACTGCTCTATTTCTAACCAAGGACATTCAGGAATCCTGAAAAAAAGCGTTCGGAAAAAAAGTAATACTCTTCAAAATCCTAAGACCAAGCTGCACCCTAACTCTGTGTGATTATGCATCTAAATTTCAAATGTTTACCCGCACTGAAGAGCTATTTTTAAGGTACATGCATTACTCTGACAGCGATCAACCTGCAGAGATTCTGCACAACCTGTTCATGGTGCAGATGGACCCAAACCAAACCCTCAGATCCAAACGCCCTGACCAGAGCCTGGATCCAGCCCCTGCAGATGGTACCTATTTTGAATAACAAGGTGAACCAAAAGCCTCAGATGCCAACACCCCTCCAGCCTCTCAGAGCTGAAACCTGGGGGTGGATTTGGTGGCTTTAGAGGACTATCCTGAAGACCTACTGCAAGAAAAAAAGAAGAAAAAAAAAACACAACCCAAAACCCACAACATATTAAACTCCAGCTTCAAAAGAAACATGTCCTTCAGGAGAGGATAGCATGTGGGAACGGAGGGTGTTTTGGCAAGTGATGGCCTGTGACAAAGCCAAAGGCCTGCTACTTGTTCAACTGGCTTGTTGCTCATGGTATTGCCCTCTCCAGAAATGCTCAGTGCCAGCCACAAGCAATTGTAAAATATATTTCATGCGATGCTCCTATGTGCATTTTAAATCTGACGCTTGCTTTTGTTCCTCACTCAAAAGCATTAGCCTCTTCATGAAACTGTCCGAGATCTGATATAGTATCTCCCCTATTTTTACTTTATTACAATTTTTTTCTATTTTGGGGTGGTTTCTGGATGCTTGGCTATGAAATTCCACCCCACTTCGGTGTTCAAAATTCTTCCTGAAAAATACCTCTCTGTATCTGGTACCTAGTTACTACAATAATAGTCACCTTAGAAACATTATAAATACACAATTAAATAGGATTCTGTTCCAAAGTCCATTAAGTCAGTAAAATTTTTTCCATCGACTTCAATGAGCTGTGGGATCAGGCCCCAAAATACTTTAAATACATTTTTTTTCCCATCTCTAGACTGCTAATACAGAACATATTCCATTTTTTTACATTTCTCCTGACATCCCTGCCCCTATTTCCTTACCCTGAGACACACATTGCTGTGTTACAACGTACTTTCTTCCCATGCCAGATTACATCCCACCCCTACTGCGATTTGGTATAACGCTTATTTATTCCCCTTTCCAAAGCTTTCATCAAAAGAATGTGCTGGCTTAGGTTGTTTGGTAAAAGTTTTTTAAACTCTTTATCTACTTTCTGTTACCTGTCTGCGCAGAGGGATTCGCTTTGTCAGCTTATGGACAGCGGGCTGGCTGCTGAAGTCGGGCTTCTTGGTGGTGTTCTTCATGCGGCACAGGATGACTGTCAGCACCATGCAGGCAATTAAGAAGACCCCTATGCAGTAAATCGCTATTTCCAGGTAGTCTGGAGACGTCGGATATTCTTTTTCTTTCTCGGGAGCTGGATCGGAAGTTTTTAGGAGGGAACAATCACGCCACAGAGTTAGCACACGGCACAAGCGCAGTTCAGTACAGCGCATGGAACAACACGAAACGGTAAAATACCAGCAATTCTCACAGTGATCGTGCGACATACAGAATACTGTGGATGTTTAGGCCATCTTGCAATCTGAGAGTAATTCCTCTTTCTAGATCGCTGCTTTGACTTCTCAGTTTTCCATTAAGTGTGAGCTTGTGCATGTGTGTATACATATATACACATATAGATGTGTCTGCCTAGATAGGTAGGCAGATATACAGATATTGAAATATTGGATGAACAAGCATAATTTTAGGGGAAAAGAAAAAAACCTGAAGTGTTCAAACTAGGCTCAGGTTCATTTTGCTGCTCAAGTCAGACTTCAAAAGTAGGGTAATTCTTTTTAACCGCATAAAGCCACATCTAAAGATAAAATAATGAATTAGCTAGCTTTAAAGTGTCGAAATTCTCAAATAGATGTTTGGGCTTGAGTCTGCATTGCCTGTTTATCCAAATTTTCACTGGGATCTCAAAATACAGAGGGAAGGCAGGATGAATCGGTCCCTCATCATGTTTCTAAATTCTGGTTAGGGATTTCAAGAGTGTTTCGAGGACCCGGCTGCCCAACTGCTTAACTGACCGCGGTTCATGCCGGGTGCCTCACTCCCCTGAAGTCCTTTGAAGAGCCCAGTGTCAGATTAAAAAGCGTAATGCAAGCGAAAGCTGAATTGCTAGCAATACGTTAATATGTCCTCTTTCGTGAGGACTGAATATTTCAAGGAACCTCATCAGTGGTTACTAGTCTATGAGATTAGATTTTAGTGGGACTGGTTCCACATAGCTGTTACTCTGATTGAAACCATTCTGAAATTATCTTCAAGACAGTTATATGTGCAAACACTGTCCCTAAGCCCTTATCTGGGATTCAACCCCCGGATAAACAGCATTCCACAGCAATCAGCGGTCACTCCGCAAGCGATGCACATTCAAGCTGAATTCTAGGCTTATAAAAATACTTCATTCAGGAAAAATCAGTTAAAAAACGCTCTTCAGGCACTTGCAAAATGCAAACACTGCTAGCAGAAGCAAGCTTTACCCAAGTACTGCTTTGCCTGCTTGGTGACAGACCACGCAGGCTCGGTGTTCACGTAAGAGTGAGATGTAATAAAGTTGCCTTGTTCAATGTATTTTAGTGAAGGGTCAGAAATTTTCTGCAGAAAAGTGGGAACATTTCACTCCTGCAATATGAACCTCAGCAACACATACATGCAGGTTTTGTGCCTTTTACTCAGGATTAACAATTAATAAGTGGTAAGCACAAGATGACCCAGCAAACCTCAGGTGGTTCACGTTTTTTCGAAAGAACTCCTAAGGCAGCTGCCAACAGTCATAAATGAGAAAATTTGACTAGTGTTCAAAACCAACTACAGTTACATCTTCTAACAGCTGATAACAATTTTCAGGCAATAATGCACATTGATGTTTGTTTCTTTTAAGGACAGAAACATCATCAACCCGAGAACAGCAAGACATGCTTTGCAGTAAAAGCAAACAACTACTTGTTTTCTTAGAGCATGCAAATGTTTAAAGATGCACGGAGCCGATTCCCAAGATATGGAAGGCACTGCTTCTGTACACCATCCATTGGCATTAAAACTACAATTTCCGTAAGAGATTTGGACGATAGGTAAAAGTGAATTTAAGTACGTGAAATAGCTGAGGTATTTTGATAAACCAGTACATGATTGTGGCCAAATTAGTCCCAAAGCTTCATATGAAACTTTGAATTTCCCTCTTGAAAAAGTTTACAATGATTAACGGGCTGATTTTCAGTTATCTTACTGAAATGCTAAGGAAATGCAGCTCCTTAGCATTTCTGATGAACATTTAACAAATGTAAAAATACTTCAATTAAGCGCAACAGCTCTCCCCCCTTTTTTGTTGTTGTTAGGTTTCTGGAGTGGCAAATATGTCACAAGACACTTAATTGGCTTGAGACAGCTGTGGTCAAAAAAAGTTATTGTAAAAGTCCCTTTCTGAGACAGAAGCCGTGCTAATTCTGCAGCAATCAACAAGGGGAAAAATAAAGAGGAAAAACCACAGAAAGAGAGCAGTGTATACCTGGCAGAACTGTCAACCATGCAGTGTGAAAGGATATCCCAATAGAATTACCCGCCAAGCACGTATACTCCCCAGCATCCTCAAAAGTTACATTCCGTATATAGAGAACCTCAATTTCTTTGTCCGTGGTGTTAACACCGGCAGCCTAAAAAAAAAACAAGAGGGAAGCAAGAGAAAAAGCTAGACATTGAGAGAATTCTTGTGGATAGGGAGACGGAGCCACGGGGCTTTGCACTTTGTAAAGGCAGAGGTGTAGAGATGCAAAGCTCCTTCCCCATCCACAATCCCTCATCCAAAAGGCGTTTACCAACAGGTCCCAGCTCACCTCAGAAAGTAATTGACACCCTTCACCAGACCTAAACTCACCACCTAAACATGCATGCAATCAAATGACATGGAAAAATTAACCCACAAAGCTTTTTTTTTTTTCTTCGTTTTTGTTAATAAAAGGAAGTTGAAAGAAAAACAAAGAGAAAACAAAGTAGGACAGAATGCGGGTTCCTTCACATGTAGTTACCTGTTTCAGAGGAAAGAATTTACTATAAAAATATACTTTGAAAGGATTAAAAAAAAAAAAAGAGGCAACTGCTGCTTCAAAAGACGCAACTTAGTAGCTGTCTTAAGCATTGTATGGTCTTTGCATTATCCACTGCACTACACTTCAATACTGTATGTTGTGCACTGTTGATAAATCTTAGTTTAATCTGAAGTCTGGTAATATTTGGTGGCTTGCTCAGAAGCACAGAAGGTAGCTCAGGTCTTGTTCAAAAAAGATCAGTTGTGGCGCTCAGATGTGGAGAAAAACTGGACCCAAAGGTTGAAAAACCAGGAGATGGAAATAAAATGTATTTTTCTAAATCTTAGAGGGTTTAAAAAAAAAAAAAGTAATAAGCTGGAAGGTTTTTTCCTGGTCTCCTTCCAGACTTGCTAAATCTCTGGCTTTACCAAGTCACTATGTACCAAACGGATCAGTGTACCAGTGATTATCCAAATTCGTACAAAAGAGTAAATCTTAGACCTGAAACTTTCCAGCTGTCCCAAGATGGGCACAGCAGGGAATCAGTGTCTAGGTCTCTAAGATGGAGATTTTTGAAATTTGAAATTTGCTGCTTTTTGTCTCTGTTCCATTCAAAGATGTTACTCTGAAACATAAGATGAGGGAATAAACTCATTTTTACCAGACTATTTTAAAGGAAATTTAGTTTAAGTTGTAGTCACGTTGATGCCATTCTTTATTGCTATTAATGGGTTATTACCCAGTTAAAATACAGGTGAATAACAACTGGAAAACCCTCCCACTCTGCACAGCTGCAGGTGATGTGGGAAGTTGTAAGTGACTAAACTCACCTGACTTATGCTTCAGTGGGTACTTATGTGAACATTTCGTATATATACACACACATATGTATATATATATAAAAATATACACTAATTAGGTCATAAACACATTGTTATTATATATATGAACTGCAAAGTATGCAGAATTCACAATAAAACTGGACGTAAACACACAGACACAAAGACGCCAAACACAAGAGAGAATAAAGATCAGCATCAGAAACCAGTGCTTACGGGACACACAGAAGATTGTGGGAATTTTTCCATGGCTGCTGGTGTAATACCAGTTGCATCACCGAAGGAAGATTACACATATACCACAAGGCCAAAGAGTCATCCTACAAGCTGCCTGCAGTCTCCCAAAGCACCATTTTTTCCAGCTTCTACATCCAGCTTGCTTTAAAAAACATCGTTACCTTGTATACTTGGCAGAACAGAGAGCCAGGCAGACTGGTTGGCCTCCCCTATATAATTGGAGACCTTACAAATATATTCTCCAGCGTCCGCCTCTGTCACATTGTACAGTGTCAGCACTTCAGCATTGGAACTATTTATCCCCGAATGCTAGAATAGACCAATAACACAGGAGAACAATGTCACTGCTGCCCAAAACGGACACCAACCTGTCTACGGTCCCACCACCAACACGTCATAAGAATACGCCTTCCACTTCATACAGGTATCAGTGTCAAAACATTGCGGGTTTGGGGTTTGTTGTTGTTGCTTGGGGTTTTTTTAAATACGAAGCATCACAAGAGACGTTAGACAACAGCGTCATCAGGGAAAAAAGCATCTGGGCTGTTACACCGGCTGCATGGAACAAGATGGTATAGAGCTGGCTGTCCTGCCCACCAGCACGGTGAGTTTTGGCAGTCCCACCCAGCTCGGAAAACTTTGGAGTTTCCTTGGTCAGGCTTGCTCAAAGCACCTGCCAGCAGGA